GAAATAAAACAAAAACAAGCGTCCACGATACGCACACCCCACACTTTATGTCTACGCTGAGAACGACGACAAGGTCGAAAACATGCAATGTCCGATTGACTGCAACAGTGCAAGCCCGACAGTTGATGTGGAAAARGCGAAGGGCGTCGCTGTTTTTCTAACTCGCACAATAAATTACAGAGCGYTGTGCAATGCTGCATTGCATGCGAGAACCCTCRCACTATCGGGAGTCACTGCTACTYGGTGATTCCCTAGAGCYACCCCTCCTGCTGCGCAAGCTGCGAATGGCATCCGCGAGAGCAGAGTAACCCCTCTCAACCCTCTCCCCCATCCTGTCCGCAATCCGCTYGCGAGATGCGATTTCCTGTAGCACCAGCTCCCGGCGAGCCTCCACCTGCTGYGTCGYGATAGCCCGCRTGGCTTCTATCYGCATCACAGYGCACTCTTTGTCGGAACGCRTCAACGCAACTGTGTGCGCACGCATGGCAATCGTCACAGACTGCACACTCGATTCCCGCGCACTGACATACCCTCGCTTGCGTTTCCCCAGCGTGGGCTCTATGCCCGCGCCCTGCGACCCAGAGGTAGATCCACCGAYGCCAGCTGGCRGATCGCCGGATGCTCCTCCCGCCCCCRATCCATGGTCGGCTGCATCATCTTCATCTTCCAAAMGTTCCTCGTCTGCAYCGGAATCCATTAGATTCRACAGGTCGATGGAGTCCTTGTCCTTCTCGCYCGGGTCGATGATGTCGTACCAGCTCCTTTTCAGGACGAAAKCAACGTTGTACCTCTTCCTCTGAGCTTTGTTCATATCCCWGTAGCTCTGCCGTCCGGACCACTTCTCGTGCGCCTTCAGCCTCCTATAGTATTCCATTATCTGATTGAACTTATTCTTACACTGCTCATCTCTACGGTTGTAACCCTTCTCCCRCATCCGCTGCTCCACTATCTTCCAGAACCCGGCCTTCAACCGAGCACGTCCGTACACCTCCGTATCTTCACCCATAAGCGTCCTCACCTCGTTCCRGAATCGACAAAGCCAGTCGGTTTCCGTATCCCCCCACCTCTCAGTATTCGGCGGGGGCGACRACGAGCCCGGGGCCGGAGGCGTGGACGCCCCCCCGCCCGACTGCGAGGCCGTAGTCCCGGCCCCGGACTGCAATCCGCTAGGGACAGGAGACGGCGTGTC